CACCTTCCAAGGATCATGATTCAGGGTCTGCACGATATCGCATGCAACCCGCCACCAGACCTACAGTATGATGCCCTCCACAATGCACGCAAAGTAAAAGATACTACAAATACGAATCATAACGAAATAAACGTTACATGGAACGGACTCACAGAAGGATTGTCCGGCTGGTTGATCGGTCCTCTTCTTCAGATGTGTGGCTCCGGTTGACAGTTAACGGACCGCTTGACGGTAACTGATAATGTGCGCGTAATTCGACAGCAGCACTCGGAGAACACGTGCGCAGTTACGAACAGAATATTGTATTGTGTTGTTACTTAAGCCACAACAATTGTTGTCTATAATAAGCAAGCTGTACACTCATGTCATAGAGAAGTGAGACAGTATATGCGATTCCCGGCAGATTTGGTATGCTCGTAGAATGCCGCCTCAAACCAATTCTGAGCTGTCTGCCTCTAGGCGATAGCGGCCTCGATACACACACAAAACGACTCAGCTACATGCAGGGTCAGGCCGCCAGACTGAACTTGGACAAGAATATTTTCCGCTTATCTTCGCTGCAAGGTCCGTCAAAGAGCTTTTATTCTATACTGCTGGATTTCGGTCAGCGNATCCGAATGGGTATGTGCCGGCCGATTGTCGGTCCAATCCATCACACAGCCAGCGCAATCACCGCCCTCCTCGGACAACGCTGAACTAGTAGGCTATGTTGAAGCGGTGTTAGCACAGATTCAAGCGTTGACACCATCTGGCGACCGCCCACGGAAATGCCGTCAAACACGTTCCTACCTCAGGAGCCGTAGTCCTAGGGGCCCACGTTAACGCTCACCGTCAAATGGGGCTTGCTGGTATCACTGTCATTACGGTGACGCCACGAAGAGGTTCCTCGCGCCATGCAACTACGCTCCTAAATCTAAAAACTGGTAAGCCGGCCGGTTTAGGCGACGACCGTGTTCAATTCGCCTGCTTTTTGCCACTGACCGAAATACTGGGATACGTTTCCTGGTAGACACAGTAGCACAGGTCAGCGTCATGTGCCCTCAACCAGCTGATCTTCATCAACTGTCTACAGTGGAACTGGTCGCCGCGACTTGCACACTCAACAAAACCGACGGCGAGCGTTCACTCACACTGAACTTCGGTATTCGCTGCGGCGTACCGTGGGTAATAACCATCGCCCAACTTCCACAGTCCGTATTCGGCAACGACTACCTCAGACAATTCAACCTCATGGTTGATCCATCCGGCTATTACATCATCGATCATCTCACCACTTCTGATACCACCTGAACACCAACGATTATTCCTTTGGTAGGCCAGACTGAACAGGCACTTTTGATGAAAGAGAGTTGTAGTGACCCAGAATTCCGTGACCGCATTCCAGGCAAGACCAAGTAAAGCTCCATGTCATCCAGTCACCGTTCAGGAAGTTCAACCAATGGTACACCGGGAGAATATGACATCCGAGTGGGTACATAAGATGCGTCGGCGCAAACGGTTATGTGAGTGGAAGACGGTCCTTTAATCAACAGTATGACATATTACCTTCTATAAAACATACTCTAACTCTATCAACAAACATAAGCGTTTACTGCTGTTAACTCCTCGTGTATTGCATTGTTGTCCGCAGTTCGGGTTGGAGCCAATCAACTTCTCAGCAGTACAGTACGGGTCATCGTAATCCTACATTCAGTACTATTCCAACTATCACAATTTTGCGTTGCGCAATGAAGATTCCGGCCACTGAACAATTGAATCTTCACAAAAGCCTATCGGAAATCGAAGAATGACTCAACTCTGTGACACATGCTAACCAGGCAGCTGTGTTCACTTTCTAAAGAAAATTCATATCAGTACACGGATTCAGCTTCAAAGCTGGATCTGTGGAACATAATTAATTCGGGTGCATACTGCTAGACGTATTGTGACCCCTTCTTCCATAATCAAACTATTCCTAATATGGTCTTCACCTGTATCACTTGACGCAACTCCGTGGCACATGCTAACCAGGCCGCTGTGTTCACTTTCTAACAAAATTCTTATCAGTACAGATTCTAGATCAAGTACACTGGTCAACGTACATAGCTGTTCAGTTGGAATAGATGTTCTTCTGGTGAAAACGTACACCAGGCTTGACACCCATAATTTTGAAAATCTCAGCTCTTCGATGTTTTCGCATCTCTTTTTATCCCACCCACTTCGGTAGCACATGTTGAAAAGCCAGCAGTGCTCACCTTTACACCCATTCTAGATCCAGTACACTGGTCAACCTACATGGCTGATCAGTGGAATGAATATTCTTCTGGTGAATACTTTTTTTTACATGCCCAATCT